AATGTTGGCTCCACGTACGGAATTTCTGCAACAGAAATTTTCAGCACTCTTTGTCCGAAATCCATTCCGTTTACCTTCCGAAATCCACCCGAGACCCTCGGGACCTTAACCAATTATTTAAACATGTCCCAAAATACCATACGAACTTAGTCGAGGCTTCAAACTACATCAAACAACATCAAAACGACGAATCACACCTCAAATCAAAATCAATGAACTTTGAACTTTCAAATTCTATATCTTGTGTCGAAACACATCAAATCAATTCGGAATGACTTCAAATTTTGCACACAAGTCATAAATGACATAACTGAGTTATGAAAATTTTCAGAATTAAATTTCGACCCCGATATCAAAATGTCAACCCCTCGGTCAAACTTCCCAAAAATTTAACTTTCGGCATTTCAAGCCTAATTCTACTATGAACTTCCAAATAAAATTTCGATCACGCTCCTAAGTCCAAAATCACCATACGGAGCTGTTGGAATCATCAAAATTCTATTCCGGGGTCGTTTGCACATAATTTGACATCCAGTCACTATTTGAACTTAAACTTTTAATTTTTCATCAGAATTCCATATCTTTGGCTAGGGACCTCGGAATTTGATTCCGGGCATACGCCTAAGTCCCAAATCACGATACATACCTACAAAAATTGTCAAAACACTGATCCGAGTCTGTTTGCTCAAAATATTGACCAAAGTCAACTCAGTTGAGTTTTAAAGCTCTAATTCAAATTTAAATTCATTTTTCACCTAAAAACTTTCCGAATATATTTTACGGACTACACACGCAAGTCGAGTAATGATAAATAGTGCTTTTCGATGTCTTAGAATACAGAATTAATTATTAAATTTAAAGATGACATTTTGGGTCATCACATATACAAAATAATAGGAAACAGATAACAATAAGGGCAGGATAAAACAACCAGTGACATGCATAGCAAGACAACAAGAATACCATAAATATTACTCAACAATTAATAAATACATATACGCCCAAATAAATTTAAGTTTTTCAAATAAATATCCTTCACATATAATTCTTCCAAATAACTCTCTTTCAAATATAGTTTTCTCAAATAATTATCTTTCAAATATAATTGTTTCATATAATACTTTCTAAATAAAAATCCTTTCAAATAAATATTTTGAATATAATTCTTTCAAATTAAAAAGTCACCATGTGACACCTCATTTCATAATCATAAAATATACGGGTCTCAGCCTAATTTTATATTTTTCGTAAACACGGGTCTCAGCCCATTTTTTATATTTTCGCGGCACTTCGTGCCCATCATTAAATCTTGTTATTTCCCAGGCACCTCGTGCCCTCATTTCATATCACAACTGCACGGACAATTCACGTGCCAAATATCATTATCAATTAATCACAACACCTCGTGCACACATTTCATATCACAATTGCACGGATAATTCACGCGCCAAAATCCTCATTATTTACTCACAGCACCTCGTGCCCATATTTCATTTTATAATCCGCCTGGCAATAGCCACATGCTCCCAATTTCAACATATATCAGGTTATTATCAATTTACCAACAATAAGATAAATTGCACAAGGTGTAAAAATAAACACAAGAAAATTACAATATCACATGAAAATCACCAACACCACAACTCCACATCATCACATACCGTCCCTGACAATAGCCACCCTTATCTCTCATATAGCCACCCTTAATCTCTCCTATAGCCGCCCTTATCCCTCCGCTCTGACAATATCAATAGCCACCCTTGTCGCTCCTATAGCCACCCTTATCACTCCTATAGCCGCCCTTATCACTCCGTCCAGACAATATTCCAACAAACACAACAACAGTGAAATGCCACCCTTATACCCACCTAATATCAACGGTGAAATGCCACCCTTATCTCTTCAAAATAATAACTCACACAACACAATAACTTACACGGGAAATTATCACGGCAACATAAAAAAATCAATTCATAACACAATTTGCCCAATGGCCACAACCAAAATTCCAAAGATACAACCAAATCAATTAATTTCACAACAAATAGTCGAAGGCTCCACACAATGTGTATAACACCCCAAAAATAATCAACAGAGATAGAAATTACTCAGCATAAAGCAAAGTCTTCATTAATCCAAATTTAGATAACTATATTAATATTTTTTTTTAATCTTGCTTAATTAATTATTTGCATAGGAGAAATTCATATTGAAATTAAATTCCAAGAAATATCAAACCAACAATACTCACGAAATTACATAAATTTTTAAGTAACAATCACATCAAATTGTCATATAAACAAATTCAACAACAAGGATTTAGGCATGGCAAATAGATAATTTAATAAATACTAACAATTATCCAAATTACTACACAATTTGCCCAAGACTTTAACTCAATGAATTTTATACATATATTCTTGAGTACGTACTCATCACCTCGCGTACACGGCTTTTCACATTTCGCAAATGGCATATAAAACGCGATGCCTAAGGACTAATTCCCCCACTCGAGGTTAAGCAAGATACTTACCTTTTTGCAGTTAGGCCAATATTTCAAAATAGCCCTCTTTCTTGAACTGACCTCCGGACAACTCAAATCTATCCAATTCAATTGTATAACTTCATTAAAATTTATCCAAAATAATTCCGGATAATAATACGTCGACTTAAAAATATTTATTCCAAAAAGTCAACAAAAGTTAACGCGGGGCCCAACCCTCGGAACTCGACATCATTTTCATGAAATCCGAACACCCATTCTGATACGAGTTCAACCATACAAATTTTATCGAATTCTAATAACAACTCGACCTCCAAATCTTAAATTTTTATTTTTGGAAGATTTTACAAAAATGTTGATTTTCCTCCATTAAAATCAGAATTAAATGATGAATTCAAAGGCATAATCATGAAAATTAATCAAAACTGGATAAGAATCACTTACCCCAAACACCCACGCAAGAATCTCTCCAAAAACCACCTTCTACCGAGCTCCCAATTTGATTATTGTGCTATGAACTCAAACCCCCATTTTTGGGACTTTTAATTTTGCCCAAATGTGCCTTCTTCGCGAATGCGTCAATCTCCTCGCGTTCGCGTAGGGAAAAAAATCCACTGATCGAAATTACCCTTCGCAAACGCGAGGGTCCTCTCGAGAACGCGTACCTTCACCTGCTAGACCCTTCACAAACGCGAGAGTCCTCTCGCTAATGCGTAGCTTCACCTACAAGACCCTTCGCGAACGCGTTCTCCCCTATGCGAACGCGTAAAACAAATCCTTGGGGTCCCAACTGTTCTATTTTTTTCCTCTATGCGAACGCGTCCTTTAACACGCGAACGCGATGCCCATCTTTCAACACATTCGTGAACGCGGGACCTACATCGCGAACGCGAAGGCCAAATTCTAGAAGCACTCAAACTTCCTCTACGCGAACGCGAGAGGACCTACGCGAACGCATAGAAGGAAACCAGCACCAGCAACATCTGATGCTTCAGCTATAACACCAAGCCCAATTCTAGTCCATTAACAATCCGGAACACACCCGAGGTCCCCGGGACCCCGTCTAAATATACCAACAAGTTTTATAACTTAACACGGACTCGCTCGAGGCCTCAAATTATATCAAATAACATCAAAATGACGAATCACACCTCAAATCAAAATCTATGAACTTTGAACTTTCAAATTCTATATCTTGTGCCGAAACACATCAAATCAATCCGGAATGACCTCAAATTTTGCACACAAGGCATAATTGACATAACGAATCTATTTAAATTTCCAGAATCGAATTTCAGACCCGATATGAAAAAAATCAACCCCCCGGACAAACTTCCCAAAAATCTAACTTTTAGCATTTCAAACCTAATTCCACTACGGACGTCCAAATAATTTTCCGGACACGCTCCTAAGTCTAAAATCACCATACGGAGCTATTGACATCATCAAAATTCTATTTCGGAGTCGTTTACTCAAAGTCAACTATCCGGTCAACTCTTTCCCTTTTAGCTTCTAATTAAGGATTGTATCTTTTAATTAATTCCGAATCTTCCAAAAAATCAAACTCGACCACACCCGCGGGTCATAATATATATCATGAAACTGCTCGAGACCTTAAGCCATTGAACGAGGCGTTAATTCTTAAAACGACAAGTCGGATCGTTACAAAATATCACTGTTAGATTTTTTAACAATTTCAAAAATTACCCCAAACTTTTGTATCATATAAAAAATCCCACAATCTTTTACAATGACCCAACTAACCGCTAACTAATTACTATCATTTTCTTTTGGACTAATGGATCTTGTAATATTATTGCAATTTGACGAATTATAGTGACTAGTAATTGTGTTATTAGCAGTAGATATTAAAATATCAGGTTATGGTTTTAGGATAGTATATTATGTAGTTCATTATAAAAATAATAATTTTGTGTCAAACTTATCTATGTACAGGACTATGGTTTGTGATAATGATAATGAATGGTATCGATGAAGGTTCTGCATATATAGGATTAGCAAGTTTGTTTGTTTGGTATTGTTGGGCATTTTAATAGTGTTTAGAACTTATGGGTATAAGTCACATTTTATGTTTTTTCAAAAAAAGAAATAGTGAAATATGTTTTAAAAAATTATGTCCAAACAAATTTTCATCTTCAAACCAAACTTCATCCAAATCAAATTTTTTAAAACAAATTAATCTATGGCCAAATGCTAGCTAAGATTTTTCTACAATAAGGAAAATAGTTATATAAGGTAAAATTTTAATTGATTTTAAATCCTTAAATATTAGGACTTCCTAAATAGTGCAAATACAAAAGATTTATCTAACGTGAACTCTATTTTTAAAGGGCAAAAAAGTATGAATATTTCACGAAGGGGGCTTTATGCTTTATAGATAGATAGATTATTGAGTATTATTATTATTATTATTATTATTATTATTGTTGTTGTTGTTGTTATTATTATTATTCAACTCACTCATTTCTGGTCCTAGCAGCTATGCTTTTTGTTGCCGGGGCAGTATCAGCTCTTACTGTCTGCCATCTCTCGTATGTACCTCACTCTTTAGGTTTTTTTTTTTGTTTTTTGCTTGGTAATCAATTCCTTTTCTTGTAATAACCAACAATGAACATCATGATGTGAAATCAAACATTACACCCCTATACCATGGAAATCTTATAGAAATATTATCTTGATCAATACGTAATATTTTCTTTACTAGGGTGTTAAAATATGAGGTGTATCCCTACTAAGTATATTAAAATATAATTACAAATACAAATTAAATTTACAAGGTAAAAAGTTGCTATGTATTTTATTTTATGAATTTAATATGATAAACATTTTTTGCTGAATTTTTTTTTTATAAGTATTTTTGCCGAAAAGTTTTAGTCGCTCCTTTGATTAAAAAGAGAGTAAACATTTTTTGGGACTTGTATCTCCCAAACCTCTTTAAGTCCTAAATAGTAAATGATGAACATATTACTTAATAAAATACCAATTATTAGTATTAATTTTCTTGCAGTTTTATAAACATGTAAGCTATTTGCATCTCTTCAACATTATAGTATTTTATTATGTACTAGTAATTTCCCATATTATTTTAATTTGCTCATTAATTGTTAACCTTAAAATTATCTAAATTTTATTTAGTTAGATAAAGTTCCTTTGTATGATTTCCATTATATGCACGAAGCATCCCGCATTCGCGCAGGGTCCGGGGAAAAGCCGCACTACATATGATTTCCATTATATAAGGGGTTTAAATGTTTTTAGAAAATTAGGGATAACATGATTATATTTGTGTAGTGTTTGATTTTGAAATACAGGGGATGTATCTATAATTTACCCAAAAATATCTAAGGTAAGAGTAAAAATCAATAAGTAGGTGCAAGTGATACTCAAAGCTGGATCTGATTCTGTTTCTTGTCAGATTTATGTTTCTTGTTAATATATTCTAATTGTCCTCTCTTTCTTTTGAGGTTAGTCCATTTGCAAGAATCTTTTCTTTCCTCTTACGCTAATTTCTTAATTTATTTTTGGCAGGTTTAGACCTAAGCTGAATGCAGCGAGGGAAAAGTAAGTTTTACCTTCTTAGCTATTTATTTTTGTTTTTTTGCGCCTAAACTGTCTGTTTTGCTTTTCCTTAATTTTCTCAAGTAATTGATGGTAGTACATATTAATGAATTTTGCTGGTCAACAAGTAATTCTTCGGTTGCTTACTGAGGTGGTATTTTGTAGATTCTGTTTTTTTTTTTTTAAACTTTATTACCTTACATTATTAAATGTGATTTAACATATTAGGTTATCAACCTTAGTGCCTCCGAGGCATATGGCTTCATGTCAAAGTTATATTAGTGAAATTCCTATCTTTCGTTTCTAGTTGAGAGCTCACTCATCATCTAGATCTACCTTTCTCTTCTTAACATTTCTAACTTGTCTTTTCTCACCTCTCATAGATTGTTAGTCTCCATATATCATTCTCGTACTTCTCTCTTTACCCTGTTTATCTTGTATTTCTTTTCCACCTGTCATGGCCTTGACCTGAGCTTGCCCTATATCTTGGATTGGCTCGACACCTTTATAGCCCTAACATGCTTATAGCCTGTTTGGCCAAGCTAAAAAAATCAGTTTATTTTGAGAAATACTTTTGAAAAAAGTACTTTTATAAAGAAATTATTTGTGTTTGGCTAATCACTCTGAAAAACACATTTGAGTAATAATTTGTTTTTGGCCAAACTTTTCAGAAAGTGCTTTTAAGTATCAAATTACAAATAAGGGCATGAATAGATTTACTTAATGGATAATATTATAAGTAAATTAATAATCTTAAAAATTTGTTATTATAGGCAAAAATTAAATCTTTTCATTTTATTTAAGTAAAATATGAAAATAAGATTTAAAAGTACTTAATTCTTTTAATATAAGTTAAATATATTAAAAATCATTCAACAAATATAAAAACATTCACCCCTAAAGTCACTATATATTAGAAAGTTATCCTAAAAATAATAAGAAATATTTATACATTAATATCCTAAGTATTAGGTTTAACGGTTATTTTGGTATATACTATATTTTGTTAAGGGTATTTTTGGTAAGTAGAAAAGTCAAAACTGCTTCTGCTTCTGCTTCTACTTTTGGGAAGATGCTACTTTTTTCTGTGTCACGACCCAAAATTTCCCACCGACAGGACAGTGATGGCGCATAACATTTCACTTGCTAGGCAAGCTAACATTAGAGAATCATTAAACCAATTCCTTATTTCCATTCAGTAAATAACAATAATTAACTAAGATGAAATATAAAAGGGTGTGGAATATTATGAAACTGTATTAATTATTACCACCCGGATCTGGAGTCACAATTCACGAGCATTCTAGAATTTACTACAAGTAATAGTCTAAAAGAAATACAACTGTCTGAATGAAAGAAAACAGTAGGACATAAAAGATAGACAGGGACTTCAAGGTCTGTGAACGCCAACAGATCTACCTTGAGTCTCCGGACAGCGGACCAATAGCAAAATATCGATCAACCTGAGCCGGTACCAAAATCTGCACAGAAAATGCAGAGTGCAGCATCAGTACAACCGACCCCATGTACTGGTAAGTGTCGAGCCTAACCTCGGCGAAGTAGTGACGAGGCTAGGACAAGACACCCATATATAACCTGAACAATATAATCATGCTAGTGGCAACAACAGTAAATAAAGAAATAACGTAGAAATAATGGGAATGGGACATACAGTGGGGAAATACAATATAAAGAGTGAGAATAATGAAAAGACAGAATTAAACCGAAAATCCTTAAACGAATTGAGCAAATAAAACAGCAAAGGAAAACTGCACGGCATCACCCTTCGTGCTTTTACTCTCAACCTCACCAAATAAATAAATAGAACGGCACGACATCACCCTTCGTGCTTTTACACTCTTCATCACAATATAAATAATGCATGCATGGCATCACCTTTCGTGCTTTACACTCCTCCACACAAATCACAGAATCAATAACAACAGATAGATAGGAGTATCACAAAGAAACCAGTATTTTACCCATAATCAATAGCACAATGTAACCTCAACCTTGATTTAATATTTGAAAGTTACCAAATCTCAGTGAAACCAGATATAAGTCACCCAATATTTGAAATAACCCGCTAAGCATGAATAGTAGAATTTAAAGCTACAAAATAGACAAGAATAAAATTTCACTCGCATGTTATGACTCGATAATGACGCATAGATGCTCGTCACCTCACCTATACATCGTATTTAACAACCAAACACGTAGCAAATGAACACATAATACCTATTCCCTCAAGCCAAAGTTAGACACGATACTTACCTCGCTCCGAAGGCCACTTAATTCTCAATCACAACTTTTCCTTTGGAATTCACCTCCAAACCACTAGTATCTATTCAAAAATGACTCAATAATATCAAACATTGCTAAAGTAATCAACTTTATTGAATAATTACAGATTTACCAAATTTTCCTCTAAAAATTTGAAAATCGACCCCGGGCCTGCTTGGTCAAAACCCGAGGTTCGGACCAAAATCCATTTACCCATTCACCCTCGAGCCTGAATATGTAATTGGTTTTGGAATCCTACCTCAAATCGAGGTCTAAATCCCCAAATTCTCGAAATCTCTAGTTTCTACCCTAACCCTTAATTCTATCATGAAAACTCTAGATTTTTGGTTGATAATTCAAGAAATGTAATGGATAATTGAAAGAAAATGGTTTAGAATCACTTACCAACACTTTGGGGAAGAAATGACTCTTAAACAATCACCTCACACTGTTTGGTTTTAGAGAAAAATGAATTTTTGGTTAAATCCCGTGTTTGGATTCTGTTAAGTGCTGGGCGACAGTGTTCATCGCCTTTGCGAGAGCAATGTCACATTCGCGAAGAGTATAGGCTGCCAAGCCTTCGCGTTCGCGAGACAACGATCGTGTTCGCGTAGGCTACCCTTCCCTGTTCTTCGCATTCGCAAGACAGTGTTCGCGTTCACGATGAAGAAATGGCTGACTTCCCCTCCCCGGTGACTAACACTACGCGTTTGCGATGGGCTTGTCGCATTCGCGAAAGGTAACGCCCCCATCGCTTCGCGTTCCCGACCAAGCCTTCGCGTTCGTGAAGAAGAAATCCCGGCCTCATCAGTTTACTCTTCGCGTTCACGAGAGGACCTTCGCGAACGTGAAGAAGGATATGTCAGACACTAGAATCTGCAGAAAACCAGATTTTTCCCAAGTCCAAAACATCCCGTGGCCTATTCGAAACTCACCCGAGCCCTCGAGGCTCCAAACCAAACATGCACACAAGTCTAAAAATATCATACGGACCTGCTCGCGCAATCAAATCGCCAAAATAACACCTAGAACTCTAAATTTAGCACCAACTCAAATGAAATTCTCAAGAACACTTTAAAGTTACTATTTTCTCAACCGAAGGTCCAAATCAAGTCAAATCAACTCTGTTTCTCACCAAATTTCACAGACAAGTCTTAAATATCATAATGAATCTATACCGGGCTCCGGAACTAAAATATGGACCGGTACTCACAATGCCAAACATCAATCAGTTCTTAAAAATAATTAATTTTCAAACTTTTAATTTTCATCAAAAATTCATAACTCAAGCTAGGGACATCCGAATTCGATTTCGGGTATACGCCCATGTCCCATAATTCGATACGGATCCACCGGGACTGTCAAAATACGGATCCGGGCCCGTTTACCAAAATGTTGAGAAGTTAACTAAAATCAACTTTTAAGGCAAAAATTCTTATTTTCATTAGTTTTCAATATAAAAGCTTTCCGGAAACATGCCCAGACTGCGCAAGTAAATCGAGGAGGGTAAAAATGAGATTTTTAAGGCTTAAGAGCGCAGATTCGAGTTCTAAAACATAAGATGACCTTTTGGGTTATCACATTCTGCTACTCAGAAACTGCTTGTGCTTCTTCCCAAAAGCACTTTTTTCCCAAAAAAGCTTGGCCAAACACTTCAAGTTAGGAAAAAAAGAAGCAATTTTGGCCTCTTGAGAAGCTTGGCCAAACAGGCTATTACTCGTCTAATTATCTTCCTCTACATATATCAAGGATTCTTTTTTTCCTTTTCCTTTTGGATTGGGTAAAAAGCCATTTGTCACGACCCAAAACTAACCCCTATCGTGATGGCGCCTATCGTGGAACTAGGCAAGCTGACTCATTTCCAAAACAAACCGATATTTTCATTTTAAAGAAAATTTCAAGGTTTTTTTTGACATAAAACCTCAATTTAAAGAGTTCAAATAAAAGAAAAATAGAAGTGCGGAAAAGAAAAGCCCGACATCGGGGTGTCACTAGTCATGTGCATCTACTACAATCTGTCTAACAATATCAAGGCTAACTTAGCCTGGAAAATAGCTAAATACAACTAGAGGAAGATAAGAGGGAGAAGAGCAGAGGCTGCGATCGCCAAACAACTACCTTGCTATCTCCAAGAAAATATGCAACTAGAACACTCAATAACCGCTACCGTGTCCAGCTACACCTGAATCTGCACACAAGGTGCAGGGAGTAACGTAAGTATGCCAACTCAGTAAGTAACAACAATAAATAAAGACTAAGCAGTAGTGACGAGTAATAAAGCATATAACATCCATATCGTGAAATCTCAGTAAAGATATTTTTCCAACAGTTTTTCAAACAAAGGCTCAATGCAAAGGTGAACAAAAATGATGAAATCATAAACAACCCCTCGGGCAAAACATCACTCATATATAGCCCCTCGGGCAAACCTCACAGTTACTCGTACCACTCGGGCATACCTCACAATCCCTCTTGCCACTCGGGCATACCTCACAATCACTCATGCCTCCCAGTCACTCAGCACTCGACACTCGCACTCAATAGGTACCTACGCTCACTGGGGGTGTGTACAGACTCCGGAGAGGCTCCTTCAGCTCAAGCGCTATAATCTGTACGGACAACTCACGTGTTACACTAACAACTCACGTGCCATAATAATAAAGTATGCCGCAGGCGGGCAGCCCCGATCCACACTCATCCTCACAAATAAGGCCCTCAAC